TTTTCCAGAACTGACATGTTTACGCGCGTTCAATATGGAGATGGTGTCGAAAATATTCTTAACTATTTATTACCCTGATATCGAACAGTTGATAAAGATCAATGTCTAGTATATTATTTACACCAATTACAAAATGTTATACAAAAATTAACTAATAATTCCGATTCACATGATTTAACGTGTAAACAAATATTAGAAATTATTCGAGAAATGGATAGAGAACAACTACTTCAACAGTATGTCAGTTCGATCAAAGATGATGATACGCTAATAAAAATTAGAATTTTTCTATGACATATTTTATATAGTGCCATTTGTATATTTAGTAGTGTAGTACTAATATAATCGGTCACACTTGTTTGAGCATACAAGATATTATCTATATCCTAACTTTATACTATACGTCTCAGAAACGGAACCGAATAAGCTGCCATTTCATAGTATTCAGTCACGTTATTATTCTTTCTTTTAGTTCGCAACTATAATGTGAACAATCGAAGTGCCGTCAATTCAAATAGTTTTTCATCATCACACAATAATAATGACACTGACGATCATCAGAATCTATTTCAATTAATTTCAAAAAATATGTCTTGTATTAAATTTGACACTAATATTATTCAAAGTTTATCATTTTATATTCAAAATACTATGAATTTTGTTATTTATTTATTAAATAATTCACAAGCCACCATCTCTACATACTCTAATATTCATTCATCGGTAATTCATCTTTATTCAGCTCTAATATTCAAACTAGATCAAATGAAAGCAACTGTTACGTTAAAAAATGATGAATTTAGTCAAAATTTATTAAGAAGAATCAAACGAAATCGATCACAAGTATATTTACTTTTAAATGAATATCGAAAATTAATTGATGAACAACTGAATACACAAAAAATAGCTAAAGAATTATGTCAGCAAATGTTTCAATTAAAATTTGTCAGTTGTGATTATCAATTAACAAAAAAGTAGGTATAGATTATCAAAGGAGGGAGGCGGATAAAGTCAGTTTCCGTCCCATAATATTTTGCAAAACCAAATACATATTCAGAATCAACGTCGAATGACGTATAAATTTCACTCGAAAAATCACTTTCGATTTTTTCGAAAAAAGTTTCCCCTATCTCCGATTTTGTCTGCTAGTGATTGTATTCCTACTCCACTCCCCTCAGGGAAATCGAAAAATCGATACTCTCAAATTTTAATGAAACACTCATCATTCGATACAGAACTGCATGCTAATGACGAATATCTGATCGAAAATTGAAAAAAATTCGATCTAGACCAAAACAAAATTCACTTTAGTCGGAGAGGGTATAAACGGCCTATCGAGTAAAAGTGATGTCAATTTTGAATTCTCTATTGACTGAAAGTATTTTGAGTCGAAAAAGGATGTGGTTGTTTCAAAAATCGGGTTATACGCACTGGGTTTTCTAGAAAATCTTCGAAATTCTTTTCAATATGCAGTTTGATAGAGCATCAAATTCTGCGTAAAATGCTATATTATTCAAATTTATGCGAGATTTGTGTACTAGGAAATCAAGTTTCCAAAACTCCGGTTTTTTTGTATGTAGTTTTCCTCCAGTCAAATCTCAAATGCTGTAGTTCTTTGAAAATCGATCAAAAAATATTGAATAATATAGCATTTTACTCAGAATTTGATGGAAGGTATCACTTCGATAGGTTTCCTCGTGAGAACAAATCCAAAAGGATTTGTGTGGATGGCGCTTAAGGAGATAAGAGTTGAAATGTTTTTCCTAACTGTGTCGTCTATTAATATCACTGGAATGAGGAGGATTGGGTTTCAAGTATTGTCAAAGGCGGTTGTTATCTTCTCTTCGCCACGTAGAGACCTCCTACTATTGAAAGATTTTTTTACTTGTTTATACAAACGTAGAAACACTCGCGATCAACTCTCTTAACGAAAATGTGAATGAGAAAATAAAGAGAACTGCTTCAGGAAATGAGAACTTCTTGGCGAAGTAAAAATTCCACTACTCAATGTGTAGAAGAATTGAAAGCTCGAATTTCTATGGTACTAATAGACCACTAGCATGGTTGTTGAAAAGAGTTTCAGCCCTTATGTCCCTGTTTTTACCGAAATACAAAAACTGGAACACCATCGAGACACAACTAAAAAAACTCCATAACTTTTGAAAGAAGCCCCATCAACACAAATCCCTTTAGACTTTTCTGAGAGCAGTATTCGTTGTCTATAAGGTATAATATCATTCAAAATGAAGGATTACACTTGGGAAAGTTCTCTCATTAGAAGATGAACCTGAGAATAATTTATACACATTTTTACAGATTATTCAGCATACTGGATGTGATATGTATTTGCTTGAGTAGGCGCACTTCTCCTAAAATTGCCACTCTTTTGACTAATATAACTGCCGTGTGGGAATCTCAGAAAACTTGCAGAAAAATCCTAAAAATGTATTGTTTTGGAGATTAAACAATATGTGCTACCAATAACGGAGACTTTGAGTTACCATATCATGTAATTCATCTGAAAGTCGACCTTTTCTGATAAATAGGGGTGCCAGAATCAACTTTTGAGATGTTAGAAAAAAAAGAAAAAGAAAGTAATAGTGACATACAGAACAAAAAATGATCGATAATTTCGATGTTTATTTAAAATGATTAGCGATACTGTTGGAAAACTGAGAGAGTGTATTTCTGAGGGTGATGCTGCTACGGTGTTTAGCCCAATCCTTTACTGTTTTAATCGAGTAAGACGAAGGAATCTGTATTACATTCGAATAAATAACCACCTGAGAATGGCTGTTTCTCACCAAATGACGGTTTTATTTAGATCTTTAACAACCAAAATCTTGATAACACTGTACGGCTATGCACGGTTTTCTAAAAAAGATTGACATTTTTCTCATCAGCGATAGTTTTTCGTAATATACTTTTTCTGGTAAAAGACACTTTCGTCACATGTGACGAAGGTGCTTTTTTCAGAAAAAGCATAGTGACGTAAGTTGCCGTGAATTTCGGAGTGCTTTTGTGACTGTGACGAAAATTCACCTAACGTGAAGAAAATGTCCTTGTTTTTAACAACCGGTTCTTGCTTAACTTTCGTTACCCATAAATACCGCTATAAATATAGAATAGAATCAAGTTTGATATTAGTTGTTAATGGAAAAAAGATAATCAGCGAACTACTATCATTAAGGAACGAGAATCGACGAAATTCATCTGAAAATTGATAACCATTTTTAATTTTTATGTACTCGGGTGTATTCTCTCAGTAAGAGCTGCACCCAGTTTTTACGCAGTACTTCCTAGCAAGTACTTACAGTGAACAAAGATTTATTGTTCAAAACTTAACAACTTAACTAAACTACTTCCTAAGGAAGTACTGCATTTAACGTTCTTTAAAAGTGACCAAAATTCACCATTACTGTGACAAAAATTCACCTCATGCAACGAAATTTTTGATGTGTATGAGGAAAATTCACAATTTGATGACGACAGTTCCCGAGGAGTACCTTCCCCTAAGGAACATTCGTCATGTATGACAAAAGTGCGTTCGTTATAATGACGATAGTGTGGTGTGACGACCATCACTAAGTGACTTTGTATACGCGCTGCTATACACAAATGAAGGATAGTTCATAATAGCACGAACACACAGGCGATTTTTTTAACATTGAAATTGTGTCTTAACTGTTCAGATAATTGCGTCTAACATTTGCCGACATCTTACGATGGTATTTTTGTGCACATACATCCTGTTTTAAATCATTTGTAATTATAAAGATACATTCTTATTTCTAGACCGCTAAACTCATTTTTCAACATAATAAATCCATTTGAAAATGCTACAATCAATGATGTGTTGATTGTTTATACGAATTTTTGTAATTCAACAATTATGGGGGATGACGAATACATAAATGATGAATTTCTGCGTTGTCTCGCTAAACTAGAAGAATCGTTGTATTTTTTTCTCAATAAATCTGTTGTTAATTTATTAGAAAATGGCCAATATGAAGTGATTTATTACTGTGATAAATTATTCGATATTCAAGAAATTCAACAAAATCTATTATCTATTAGAAATAGTTTACAACAACAAATTTTAAATAATGATAAAACAGATTATAACAAAGAATTGAGACAACAAATGATAGAATTTATGCATGTTATTAACAAATGCTTGGTGGTAATAGTACCCACCCGAAACAATAAGTTTTTTTCCATTATCTTGAATTTAGGTGGTAGATCATATGCATCGACGAAGGCAATATGAAATTGAACAACAGCCTAGTTCAAATTCAATGTTAGTTGATATACCGATTAACAATAATAACACCGTTAATCTTTACAATCCAATAGTTACAGAAATAGATAATTCTGTAACATTTGATCAGTTAATTGAGCTTAGTCTTCAAATTATTCCAGATTTATGTACGCTACTAGAAAAATCATTTGAGCAAGAGAATATTAGTTTTATCCCGGTACGAGGTAAGTTATAAACTCTAATAATTCATTAGACTCTGTCAAATGATCGGTCCTTTTCATGTTTTAGAATATCCATCTCTTACCGCACATCGAAAAATTTGTTATAGTGGACACAGCAGTTCAAGTAAAATTAGTTGGAAATCCAGGAATAGGAACTTGAACAATAATACTTGTGGTACTCGTAAACTAAGTAGACCATTGAAAACTAAAAGTCATAAACGAAAGAAACTGAAAAAGCCAAAACATCAAATAAAATATTATCATTACGAATCATCAACAGATTCCGTTTATAGTTGTACAAGTCAAATATTCCATTATCAATCACATTCCCCATTATCCGATTGTTTCTACTACTGTGCATCTTCTTCTTCCTCATCTTCAACAACAACTATTCAACGTTCCTATACACCGCTGATATTTGTTGAAAATCATAAACATGAACAGTTTTCTTCAGCAGTATTTAAATCCTATATTAAAATATAAATATTAAAACTGCATTTATGAGATATTTATAGAGAAATTTTGGCTTTAAAGAGCTAATCTGACAAGTACTACGTTGCGCGCAGTTATAAGATGTACTTCTACCTGTAACGTGTACTTAGAGCAACAAACAAAAATTTCATAAGTTTTTTGTCTTTTTCATGTTTTCTTGAGTTTATTCAACAGATCTTTTTTCATGTACATGGATTTCGATAATGTGATAAAAAAAAACACAAAAGCACACGTACAAACTTCTAACTACATAGGAGAAATACTTCTTTCCAATAGTGACAGTGAAAAAAGTGAGAGAGACACTCTTCTCTTTCCTCGGGATTCATCGGGTTCAATTGTTCATAATACATAAAAAAAATTCTCTGACATCGATGTCAATAGTGTTGAAAATATACTTTTTTTTAAACTTGGTTCTTTTGTACTATTTCTATTGAAATTTCAATATACGGGCTAATTAAACTATGTGTCCAAGATCAACGATATTATCGTCCGATTGTCTCACGACATCTAATTAAGGAGATTTTTACTTTTTATATCAGTCAACATATTGTTTCATAAACACGTTATTGAGAACGATGTCTTTTTTAAATTAACCCTTGTA